TTCTCCCAGCCAGAATTCTGGGAGTTGAAGTCCACAAGTCTTAAAGTTGCCAAGTTTGGGAACCACTGGTGTAGGGTTTCCTGCCTAAGCAGGGCAGGTTGACTAGAAGACTTCCAAGGTCCCTTCCATCTCTGATATTCTATTCTATTCTAGCCACTGTGAAAAAGAAATAGCTTGGAAAAATGTCCAGGGGTTTTGGTGAATTCCAGATTACGTAGCCCAGAGGGCTGGAGTTACCAACACTTTCTGTTGTTGGTGGCCATGCGAAAAACTGGTAACTGTTTTTGTTTGATTTTCAAGTAAGTATTAGTGCAGAGATACACATTGTGATGCTCCAGAGCTGGACACAACTTCTGAACAGCTGGATACAACTTCTGAACAGCCAGGTTGCACACAAATGCAAGGCTTTCCAAAAGTGTTGCCATCTGGAATAAAGACACTGAAAGGAGATGTTATTAACTCAATGGGAAGCAATCACAACTAATGTAGGTCATGTGTGCTTTTATTTAGGAACTGATTTGATGAGGTTAAAACGCAGTGAAAATAAATATCCTTTTGTGTTTGTGTGTGTGTGTCCAGGCCCACCTTCTTTTTTTTAACATGGCCCTGACTGACTGGATAAAAGAAGGCCAAGACTATTACAAGCCAAAACCATGGGGTTCAAATAAAATACCATTTTGCAATTTTTTTCTTAAGTTTGTAATTACTATACCAGATAACTATCATATGCCAGGATCTAAATCCAGATTTCTGGTTTGGATGCAGTGATCCTGCCAGAATAGAGCATATTTTCTCAAACAACCTGTCAGCTACCCTTATCCCACACAAGTTTCGTTCTCTTTGCATGCCAATCTTGGTAGCTGCATCAAAATTAATTCGTACCATTTCTCTGTTACACCCAGACAGCAAACAACGGTTTTGTCAATGTACTTTAAAGCCTGTTTTCATATAGTGCATCGGAGACCCAAGGCTGATCCCTAGTTTCTCTGTTAAGACATAGTCTGACCGGTTTTAGGTATAAGCACAGATCCCTGGATGTCAGGAGAGGAGATCCAAGGCCAGTTCTATACAGCTCATTCAATAGGCAGTGAGTAGAATTCATGCAAACTCTGCTTCTGAAATGTGTTAAGCTGTAATATTTATTTCCAAACCAATTTACTGAGAACATGTAAGAAAGGATATTATCACTCATTTACTCAAGGAATCCCGGCATGGTTCAAACTGCAAAAGGGACATAAAATTCCAGGCAACTTTCCAGCTCAGATCTGAATGGGTATGGTACTACCCTGTTTTCCCCAAAATAAGACCCAACCAGAAAATAAACCCTAGCATGATTTTTTTTTCAGGGTGCTAGTAATATAAGCCCTATCACAGAAATAAGCCCCAGTTAAGATTGTCAGCCAGATGGGTGCATTTAATACTGTATTTCCCTGAAAATAAGACCTAACCATAAAATAAGCCCTAACGCATATTTTGGAGCAGGGGTGAAATGCTCTGAAGTCTGCTACTGGTTCGCTTGCACACGCATGTGCACCAAACGTTTTAAAAACCTTTTTAGCAATGTTTTTACTACCCGTTCTGCCAAACTGGTAGTTAAAAATTGCTAAAAAAAAAAGTAGTGACAATCAGCTGTGCCACGCAATTGTTGGAACTTTTTTTTTTACTTCTTAAAGCATTTTTAACTACCAGTTCAGGAGAACTAGTAGTAAAATAATGCTTTAAAAAGGTTTTTTAAAAGTTCCGATGATCAGCTGTGGGACAATTAGCTGTGCCGCACGATCGTTGGAACTTTTACTATCAGTACAGGCGAACCGGCCCGAACCGGTAGCATTTCACCCCTGTTTTGGAGCAAAAAATAATATAAGACCAGGTCTTATTTTTGGGGAAACACGGTAATGTAGAGCTCCCCACCTGCTTCTGAAGAACTAGAAGGAACCAGAGAAAAGTTATCAGATGGCAGGTGTTAGCTTTGCCCTTTTTTTTGACTTAATATTTTTTTGACATTGGATTTATGCCACACACAAAGCCAGGAGTGGTAACATCTGTGTGGGGTCATGTGTTGCACTATTTTTGGGGGCTCCAAGGACTGGATTCGTATCATCACTAGACTCTACAAGGAAAACATTTTGGCCCATTTTTAGGGAGGAAATGTGGTTGTGACCAACCCCCTTATGTCCCTGGAGGAGATTGAATCATTGATAGATGATCTCCATGTTGACATGCAGAAGGGGGGAAATGTAGTTATTTAGTGAGAATAGAGAGGTTCGTTTACTTCTAAAGATCAATTAAAGTAGCTTTTCCAGTTGGGGGCCCCTTCTGAGATTGCCTTAAATTCTCATACAGGTAATCCTCGACGTACGACCACAATTAAGCCCCAAATTTCTGTTGTCAAGTGAGACATTTGTTAAGTGAGTTTTGCCCCATTTTACAACCTTTCTTGTCTCAGTTGTGAATCACTGCATTCCTTAAGTTAGTAACACGGTGTTCTGTCCCAAGCCTCTACAATATGTACGGAAGCAGATTTTGCTGTCGGCCACAACTAAGGAGGGAGATAAGCAACCCCTTGGCTGGGAGCCCAGAAAGCTATCTCTGTGAATCAAGGCTTGAACTCACGAAATTCTCCCAATCTTTCTCTACAGCAGGATCAGTAAATTGTTGTTTCCTGCAAAATTCCTCTCCTGTCGCCCCACCTATAACCTCTCCGGGAGGGACCAATCAGTAGCCACCTGTTCCTAGTTCCTTCTGTGACTCTTTTTCCAAAGCTGCTCCCTCTTTCTTGCAGCCCTACGTATGTCAGGGACAGCCTCCCTCTGTTCTTCCTCACTGCTCCCTGACTCAGATGCAACCTGGTGGCCAACTGGCCTCTCTAGTCCCTGCTTTGACTCCAAACAACCCCCCACAGAGTCTTCCTCAGCCTCCAGGGCAGTCCCATAGTGTTCATCGCTGCTAGATTCCATCAACAGCTCAGCCGGCCGCTGTTGGGCCATTGATTTTGCTTGTCAGGTGGTCGCAAAAGATGATCACACGATCCCTGGACACTGTGACCATCATAAATATGAATCAATTGCCAGGTGTCTCAATTTTGATCACGTGACCATGGGGATGCTGCAATGATCGTCAGTGTGAAAAATGGTCATAAGTCACTTCTTTCAGTCCTGTTGTAACTTTGAACAGTCACTAAATGCACTGTTGTAAGTCGAGGATTACCTGTCCTAATCTGGTGATCATAGGCCAGGTAGGCTGAAGTATCATGGAGTTGAACACTAATTCCTCTGAATGATAACTACTGTATTTTTCCGAGTATAAGATGCCCCTTTCCCCCCCCCCCAAAAGGGGGGTGAAAATCTCGGTGCGTCTTATACACTGAATGCAGCACTTTTG